GCCGGGCGGCCTGGGCCAAGCGGCTGGCGCGGCGCCTGCGAGGTGAGGGCACCGGGCGCCGGGCACCGGGCACCGGCCCTGCCCGCGCAGCGCGCTGGCCTCCTCCCGAGGGCTTGTGTGCAGAGCAGCGCTTGGAAACTTTCCCTTTGTAAAGTTATTATTGCCTTTGCTTTCTTCTCCACCCACCTCTTTGCCAGTTCTTCCGCCTGTCTGCTCTGTTGTCTCACCTCTGGCTGCCCCTGCGCTGTCCCCATGTCCCCCCCCACCTGTGGATAAGCATCTCCAGCTCACAGACCTGGTTGTTGCTCCCATCAGATGCGGTGGCACCCACCTACCCCCCGTTTTGCCTCCTGTGGCTGTTAGAGAGGTCTCTGTGCCCTTGTGCCCCTCCTAGGCCAAGCAGAGGAATCGGTGGTGGGGGGCTTCCCTGGGGAGAAGGTTATGGGGGCTTCCCTGGGTGTGAGCTTGTGGGGACTCACCTGACAAACAGCCTGGCTTCTTAAGGGAAGCATAAAATTCCAGCATCGAGACCTGAGAATTATGTAAGTAGAGTTTGTTTACAAAATAGGCTTTGTTATAAAATAACGGATTTTATGAAGTGATGCTAAGCGGCATTCTTGACTGTAAGCACAGGAGTGCCTTAAGCAAGGATTTGCAACTTGGACTATTACCTATCATTTATCATTTTGTTTCTCCTGCACAGTCAGAAGTCATTGGCTATAGTGATTTCTGTGGTTTGAGCTGTGTTGCTCTGAAAATAATACCCTCGTGATCACTGTAATAATTGACTTGGATGCAGGTCCAAGTCCAAATTGCGGCGATCATAGAATAGGCTTTGCGGTCTTTGCAGTAGATTTAATAGGGAGGCTGCTCAACGAAAGAGTAACTTTAAAGCAAGAGACTTGAATGTCCAGGAAAATATATCAGTGATAGTTGGGCCTTATGAGCCAACTGACATTGCTGTGGCCAGTTTTTAATGGTGTGTTTAGCTTAGTGTGTGCCTCACATAGATAAATGCTTACCTTGAAATGGAACAAAATAGATAGGAAACTTTCAGTTATTGTCACGTACCACGCTGCTTCTTGGGGTTTGAGATGCTCCGTGTACACTGCTAATGTTCTGCCTTTAGCTATAAAATCAAGAGACTTGGGTTTGTGTTCTTTGAATATTGCGACTAGATTTATTCATGTGCTTAGTGGCCAGGGTTTCTCATCTTTTTAATCTGTGTTTATTTTGTGTCAATTATATATATTATTGGAAGCTGAGTTTGGCGGTTCTTTTGGCATCTCGTGTGTCACAGCAAAGACCTTTGTTGCCTGCAAAGTGGCAAGCTTAGTACTTTATTTGTAGGTCTGACAGAGCTCTAAAAAACATGTCGTACTGCAGACTGAAAACAGGTGAGGTTTTAGCTGAGCTTTTTGTGGAATTGTTGGAACGAAACTGGTAGCAGCCATAGAAGATAAGAAGTAGAAGAAAGTTAGCATGGATTTATTAATGAAATGCCATTTGACTGGACAGAATTGAACACAAGAGGGAGTAGTCATTTGGAAACCAAATACGATCGTTTCCAGCAATGCCAACCAGTGTATTTTTTTTCTTGAAAGATTTTGTTAGCCACTGTTTTTTTTTCTCTCTCTTCTCAATATATTCTTTATGTAAGGGTATGAGCGAAGCATTAGTTCAGATAGGTTCAATAAATGAGTGTACAGATCCTTCAAAAGGATGATGAGTCTCCAGTTAATGTAAGACATGGGCTGAAAATGTTGAATCGAGGCTGGAAATGAAGTGTTTTTGTTGCTCTCAGTTAATGTCAACTTAAATCCAGTGCTGGGTACCACCACTGTTCTTAACGCATCTTAAACTATACTGTAATATGCTGGAAAAGGGTAAAATGAATATGTGCCTTCTAGAAATGTGGCCACTAATGAAAGCTTCAAGCTAGTGGTTGGCCAAGTGTGGAGTCCATTTAATGTGAAGATGATTGTGTGATTTCGAGTGCTTTATTACTCTCTTTTTCTTCCACACGTAACTTTCCATTCCTTGCTGGCTTGTAATAATGGTCGAATATGACTGAATTTGAGCTCGCAGGCTTTCTGCTCTCTGCATTTCTTTTTGGTGAGTAATGTGCTGACAGGCGGCCCGCGGCTCTCGTGCCAGCTCAGCTCCCTGGCCCTTCCAGCCTTTTCCCTGTGCCGCAATGTTTTCCTGCCGTTATTATGAGCGTTGCTAGTGCAACGGGCTGTATTCAAGGCTAGACTTGGGGAGGGCTTTGCTAGCGACTGGGTGAATGGGCTTCTTGTTGTGTTTCTGTCTTCTAGGATGACCTAATGATGAGAATTTGGCATCTTCTGTTGTAAAGCTGCAGTCTTTATCTCTGAGTTTTCAGGCTTAATCTTAAGAGAGGTTTTTCAGAGTTGTTCTTTCTTTTGGGGCAGGCATCACATATTAATGATAGAGGTTAGTGAAAAGTATAATTAACAGAAGAGAATGAACAGACAGATATTAATGCGAAGCCTGTTAGTGTTTGCTGTATTTATGCTGGAGAACTTTCCTTGGTGACTGTCCAGCTAGATCATATTTTGAACTAGGAGAGGAGCAAAAAAGCCTTATAAATACCTGGCACGTTAATCTTTGCTTGAATTTCAGCTTGCGGGTAGATGGAAACCTCGCTTATTCCTCCCTCTTCATTAATGAAGCTCTGCAGCAGGCAGCTTTGCCATCTTTCTTAGTCTTTGCAGCAATGGCTGGCACTGAAATTCCCCTTCAGTCTCAGCTCCGTAATCTGTTTTGACTATCCCGTGTTGCTTTTCCATTTGACTTCAGATTTCTGTGGTACGTTTGACGGATCCAAGATCTTTTTCCTAGGGATTTTGAGGTTACTTCATCTCCATCCACTGGCAATATGAAGGATGTTTTCAAGGGCTCACCATTTGAAATACTTGAAAAGGGAAAGGGTGGAAGCTTGACAGTGATTTACAAGAGCGAATTTATTTACATATGCACAGTTGTAAATACAGCTTATATACACATATACTATACACACACGTATACTGCACGCATGCCAATATTCCTGCCATCTTTCTAGCCCTGTAAACTAAGGTCATGTCTTATTTATTCTTGAATAGAGAAGCTGCTGGAAGGTAGCAGCTCTGGACTGAAATTCCGCAGCTGCTCCCAGCTTTTCTCTCTCCTGTATTCAACACAGGAAATGAGTGTGGTGGTTCCTGACTGCTTTCCATTCTCAGATTGCTGTTTCTTTCGGTCACTCCTTTTAACAGCCTCTTTTTCTTCACTGCTAACCTCTTGGGAAGGATAACCCAAGCTCAGTAAGTTTTCCTGCCGGAACTTCTTGAGACTACCAATGCCATGAAGCTGGTAACACCCTCAGATAGTTTAGTTAATACAGTTGCCCAGTTTGGCAGCTGCTTATTAAAAGGATTACCAGCATGTCCCTGATAATTCTTTGTGTGTGGGTAAAGAAATTGATGTAGCAGACCTCCCTAGCATCCCCATTGTCCCTTTTTTGGACACGTCCCTCCTCTCAGGGAGAGGAAGGTGATATTTGTTTGATTTTGTTTTCTGTGCTTGTTTTAAGCTTGTGTTTTACTGTCTTGTCCTTCCTTCAGGTAGAAAATTAATCCTTTCATAGGCATATTTTCAAACTCACTGCGTTGCATTTCTTGAAGGGTGACTATCAATGTGTGCCTTTGTGGATGTAATTTATTTGCCTGCCATCTGATTTTTAAATGACACCATTTTTGGCAAATACTCAACGAATTCTGCAAGAGTTCTGCTGAACTGTTACTAAATAAATATTATATACATGGGGTGACATGAGCCTCTTGGGACCTCTAAGGGAGACAAGCCAAAGAAATTGTTCTCAAAATAACTTAGATCAGTTCAAAATCTATAGAAGGTCCGACAGGAGACAGGACGTTGGGTTCAGAAGCAGCTGCCCAAGCAAGGCATCTCTTGATTAATTATGCAACTAGCATGTCTAGTATCAGACACTGTATTTCTATCATTATATCTGTTTTTCTTGCCAGGTCTGTGGGGCACCAGACTCATGGAAGAAAACAACACTAGCCGAGAGCGGTATCTGAGAAGTGTCCTGCGGGAGCTCGTCACATACCTGGTCTTTCTTGTGGTCTTATGTGTCCGTAAGTACCGTTCAGTGTTGATATTAAACTGTTCTGTACTACCTCTGTGCCATCTGGAATTCAGAATTAAGGTTATTTCAGTGGTGGAGGAGAAAAAATAATGCAGAGATGTGGAGGCAAATACTTGGAATTACTGTTCCAATCACTCTTGCTTGAGATTGGGAATATTACCCTCTCTGTGCCTTAGTACTTTTTGAATCTTTAAGTGGGATTGCAACATTATTTGGAGCCGTGATGCAATTTGATTTCACTATTTATAAGCTGCTGGGTTTTTTGATAATTTATAGTTAAAACAAGGCAATTTAGTGGGGATGTGTGTGTATATATATATATATATATATATATATATATGTATGTATGTATGCATATAACCATAAGAGAGCTCCACATAAAACTATATTGTTGATAAAATGCATGTTTTATTTAGTTATTAGAGAAAAACAACAACAGCAAAAAGCTTATTCATTAAATCAGCATAATTTTGGAAACCTGATGCCATGTTTTAAGCCCCCATTTTTAGCATGGACAATGCTTTTCTTTGACCGTGACATGTCAGTGACTTTAAAGCTGTCATTTGTGAGCAGTTGTGCCAGGACAAGTCCTTGTTTGTTTGTTTTCTGGATTGTTTTGTGAGAGTGAATCTTGTATTTAAGAAAAGCAAACCTACAAACAAAAACCCAACCTGTACTTGTAGACTGGCTGTGAGAGCAAGGCTGCCTCGATTGCCTTTTCTGGTTTGTCTATATGAAAGCAAAACAGAACAAACCCTTCATATAGTTGGCACAGCTACTCAATGTTGTATTGTGGGCATGCTTATATACGAGATATTTTACTTATTTCCTTCCTAAGTCATTTAAGATCCGCAGAGCAAGTTTATGGTTATAAGGTAGTTAAGGCTGCCTGGTATTCCCTCTCACCAGGACAGGTGAAACAGGGAAGGATTTCATTAAAATAGAAAGAAAATTCCAGGGTCTACCATTTACATGACATTTTTATGTAGTAGTTAGCTGAATATTTTGGTGTGGACTGGCAGATTAAATTATCATCACTGGAAAAGATTTGGCCACTATTTCTTGTAAAAAAAAAATATATATATATGGTAGCAGAGTGGAGAAGAAGTATTATATGTTAAATATCTGCAGACATTTCTCTCAAACTAGCCTCTTATCAAGTTCTGTCCTTTTAAATTTTACACTTAAGCAATATCTATGAGACACAGTGGTTTTTCATTTGGCACCACAAACGAGGGAGCTTTCCAGCACAGGCTAAACGCTACTGATGTTTCATCCACTCCTGTATTTTTGAAAGAGCATTTTTAGAGACAAGCCAGGTATTTCACAATCAAGTCGCACATTGCCTATGCCCCAGCAGAATCTTTTTACAGATAATTCTGCATCTCTGGTTGCTAAAGAAAGCTTTTTTTCGTTGCTCCCTGTAATAAACATTTTTATCCAAATGTCAGAAATGATGAAGAAGGTCTATTAGAAGCAGTGCCTGTCTCAGGTGAAGTTTATTTGTCCAACCACTGAGCTGTCTAGTGTCATTTGTGAGGCTCTGCGATGTCCTGTTTGGCCATCATTTTCTGCTCAAGTTGGGCATGATTTTTATCTTCCAGGCCGGCTCTGTACAGATGCCTTGGATGTCACAAGAGAGCTAAAATGGGTCTAGTTTCCCCTGTTTAGGCTGCTGCATCCCACCTTTGTGTTCCTTGAATTTCACTTTTCTAGAAGTAATAATAATATTGTAGAGGTATTAATAATAGCTAGGACTTGGGAAGGGAGAATTTGGCATTTTAAACTGATTGATCTGTTCCTTACTTTCCTTGCTAATTTTATATTGTAATCACTTCTTGAAGACAAATGCTGCTTACTGAGAATTTTGTTCTGTTTTAATGCTCAGACTTGGTGCAAAATTTATTCAAATACAGCGTTCAAAATAAGAAATAATTTTTTTTTGCCCCTCCATCTCCTGCCTCTTACCTTATCCCAAATCTTGTGCAGTGACTTACGGGACAGTGAGTTCCAGTATGTACTATTATACCAGGGTCATGTCGCAGCTCTTCCTGGAAACACCTGTATCAAAAATGGAGAAAACCGATTTCAAAACTTTGTCCACAATGGATGACTTCTGGAAGGTACTGTGTAAAGAAACTGCTATTTCACTGTTGTCAGATCTCCTGTCTGGATCTGTGAACTTAAATCTGCAATTTTTTTTTTGGTAATGTGGGTTTGTCCATAAAGGTCTCTGTGTGTATGGACAATATCGAAGCACTAGAGTAAAACTTGCCTTTCATAGGTCCAAGTTTAGGATCTAGATAATCCCAGTTGGGGCAGTGAAGGGCAAGGTTAATGAAGGTCTTGGCAGGACATAATTCTAAGGCAGATACTCTGCCTTAATAGCAGAAGAATTATCAATTGCACTTCTCGTGTTTCAGCAGAATTAGGATCTATGCAAACAGTGCTGGCAACACACAAACGATCTCTCCCTTTCCAGTTCACGGAAGGCCCTTTGCTGGATGGTCTTTACTGGGAGATGTGGTATAACAACAAAACCATGGCTGAAAACAAGAGCTTCATTTATTACGAGAACCTGCTCCTAGGGGTGCCTCGCATTCGGCAGCTGAAAGTGAGAAATGGTTCGTGCTCCATACCCGAGGACTTAAAGGATGAGATCCAAGACTGCTATGATGTCTACTCGGTAGCCAATGAAGACACTGCTCCTTTTGGGCTCCGAAACGGAACAGCGTACGTAATGCTCCTATAGATACATAGGCTGATGTGTATTTCCTGGCCAAGGATATAGGGATATATTGGATATATATGGATATATTGGGTATGTTTTCTTTCATAAAGACAGTTCTGTAATTGCCATGGGCTAAATGTTGATTCGGGGGTGGAGGCACGGTTAATTACGAGTAGAAAGCAGGAAGTCTAATTTGCTCTGTCTCACTGCTCAATTAGCTGGACATACACCAACGAGAAGGATTTGAACGGGAGCAGCCACTGGGGCTTGATTGCAACGTACAGTGGAGCTGGTTATTACCAGGACCTCTCAAGGACCAGGGAAGTGACGGCTGTGCAGATCGCCAGCCTGAAGAAGAACCTGTGGCTGGACAGGGGGACGAGAGCAGCTTTCATTGATTTCTCCGTATACAACGCGAACATCAACCTGTTTTGTGTGGTTAGGTACGTGCAAAACCATTGGCAGTGTTCAACAGCCCAGTCTTTATTTTGAGGGCACAGGCGTGTATGTTACTTAAAGGAGAACTTGTGTCAAAGTAGCTCAGTGCCTCGCACGTGATTCTTTCAAACTGTGTTTTAAATGTTCCTGGAAGTAGAACTGTGTCCTCTCTGATGTGGGTAGCACTTTTTGCTTTCTGTCTTCTCGCTGGCATGTTTCTGGTGGTGCTTTGTGGCAGGTTCCCTTGCCAAAGGGGTGAGACCCCACACCGTCGCTGCACTTGCCATCTGGAGGCAGTTGAGATCCTCCTGAAGCCCTGCAAGAGTTTGCAGGCGACTTCTCTAATGGATCACTAGGTAGAAATGTCATATCTTTCATTTAGCTAGCATACGAGAGATGGGGCTGCAGACAGAACTTTCTGTCTTTTGTTTTTCCACTGTGCTTGAAATGTTTTAGGTTTAGTCAAAAATCTGAGTGAGCAGTATGTGGGTTTGCACTCTCTGTTTTGCATAATGTCTAATTTGAATCATATCTGGGCTTTTTCCTGTCTCCAAAGTTAAAACAAGTATCTTAAGTGTATTCAATAGTGCATTTCAAGGACATTGCTTCAATGAAATGTTTTTTTTTGTTGTTGTTGTTTTTACTTTTAACAGGTTGTTAGTGGAGTTTCCAGCAACTGGAGGCCTTGTCACATCTTGGCAGTTTCAGCCAGTGAAGCTCATTCACTACATCTCCACTTTTGATTTTTTCCTGGCAGCCTGTGAAATTGCATTTTGTCTCTTTATTCTTTATTATATGGTGGAAGAGATCTTAGAAATTCACATTCATAAGCTGCACTACTTCAGGAGTCTCTGGAACTGTCTTGATATCCTGATCATTGTGGTAGGTAATGTTTATAATAAAGATAATATTGTGGATCTACGTGATAGGGCCATCACCTTCTTTGTCCTTTGCCATTACTTCTGGAAGGACACTTAAAGGCCGTTGAGCTGTTCTGTCTGAGTAAGGCAAGTCCAGTCTGTCCTTTTGAAAATTAAAAATGATCAATATTTGTTCAGTAGATGTTTTCCCAGTTAGTTTAAATATAGGCACAGTCTATATGGGGGATAAGCAACCCTCCCAACACATTTTATTTCTGTGTATGTGACATAAGCCATTGCAGCAGGCAATCATAAAAGAGCTGGCAGTTGGAGACAGGGGACAAAGTTCTGAATATACTTGCAAAGAACAACTAACATTTTATTTTATGTTGAAATACTGACTAGTTAATAGCAAGTTGGAGGAGTAGCGTCTCATAATTGTAGCATTCCAGCAGATGTCAGGACTGACATAGATCATATTTATATATTTATCTGCCATATACCTGGCTAAAACCAGTTGCTTCAAAACTGTACCTGTAAATCTCCCATCATGTTTGTATCTTTCTGCTTTTATGCAGCTCTCTGTAGTAGCTATAGGAATTAGCATCTATAGGACCTCAACTGTGGATACGCTCCTGAAGAAACTGCTGGAAGAGCAAAACTCGTTCCCAAATTTTGAACCTTTGGCATATTGGCAAATACAGTTCAACAATGTTGCTGCAGTCACTGTGTTTTTTGTGTGGATTAAGGTAACTCCAAGGCATATATCCTTACTGGCACATTAGAATGGAAGCATTTGAATTGTTTTGAATTGCCTGTATTTATTTCCATGAGTTTCTCACATTTCTTGTGAAATTGGTTATGGGAGGAAGTCAGAGCAGAGCACATGAAAAATGAGGTTATCATTTTGTCATTGGTTTGGATGGTCCTGGTTCCAGTCTGGAAAACACACTCAGCAGTAGTGCTTTGTCACTGCATATATGTGAAGAAATAGTTTAATTATTCTGGAGTTGCTCAGTCAGTGCTTCTTATTAGGTGCTGTGTTTGCCCAGCCTGATTTAACTGTGCCCCTTTGATGTAATGGTAACATGTGATGTACACATATAACATGTAATTTATATCATTTAAAATTCCTTTTACCTTTCAGATAGATAAACAGACTTTTTCTAGCATATGAGTAACTGCTATGTAAGAAAGCGAATGGAGGAGTACAAATGGAGACAATTTTCTTCCCATTTCAGGCCTCATTGGGTTTGGAAAGCGACATTTCTAAACCTAGACTGACTGACTTGTTGTTTCCAATGGAATTCAGAGTGATTCCTCATGTGCAAAGCTGTTGTAATAATTAGCTGTCTTCCTTGTTTTCCAAGTTGCCTTTTTTTTTTTCTTTTAACAGCTTTTCAAATTTGTGAACTTCAACAGAACGATGAGTCAGTTATCCACTACCATGTCTCGCTGTGTCAAAGATGTCATTGGCTTTGCAATTATGTTTTTTATTATTTTTCTAGCATATGCTCAGTTGGCTTATCTTGTCTTTGGCACTCAAATTGATGACTTCAGCACTTTCCAGGAGTGCATGTAAGTACAGTAATAAATGCAAAAAAATTCTCAGGGCATTGGTAAATGCATTTGGCTGCTTCATTGGAGACGAAACAAATCCTGTAACGACTTTCTAAACAGATAAGCTTCAGGGATCTCACTGTTGACATGGCTCAGTAGCTATAAATTCTGGAGAGGCTTCTTATGAATCGTTTGTTTAAGAACTGTCTCCAAAGGCAGGTTGAAAAGAGAATATAATCCCAGTGCCTGATCAGTATGACAATACTGCAGACCTCTCTGCTGCCCATCAACCAGACTGTTAAAACTAAAACAGACTGAAAACTGCACGGCTGCAAACGCATTGTTCTCAACTCCTGGATGTGTTTTGTTTTTTTAAGATTTACTCAGTTCCGCATCATTTTGGGAGACTTTAACTTCACAGAGGTTGAAGAAGCTAATCGAATTTTGGGACCAATTTATTTCACTACATTTGTGTTCTTTATGTTCTTCATTCTTTTGGTATGTACACCTTTGTGTGGGGTGGGACATTTGTTTTTAGTTAAATTGCCATTTTTGTCTCTCTTGTTTTTAGGGGATTTTTTTTTTTTTTTTTTTTTTTTTTGGTGGTTTAAGCTGGGGCTTATTTTGGTCGTGGTTATGTGTGCAGTTCTTGTGCATCCTCCATTAATACTGGTATTGAATTCATACTTCCATTTTTTTTTTCATATTTTCAAGTTTTAAACTTGCCCTGAAGCACTTAAAAATCCAGAGAAGTGGGAGCTAGTGATCAGGGAAGGGAAAGTAAAAGAAAAAAAATAGACTTGTGTGTGTGTGTATGGATGTTTCATTCTAATGGGCAGCAGGAGACTGCTAGTTAGATAGTAAAGGCACAGCACATCTGAAATGCAAACTACAGGTTGTGTCCTTATTAACCTGCGCAGATTGAAATGTTGGTGTGAGCTCCTTAAAACCCATCTGAGACCTAAGTGAAGCCAAACTAGGGAAGACAGGCACAAAGCAGTGTCCTCAGCATTTACTCGAGGGCAGCTGAAAGCAAAATGGATGCTAATAAAGTGACCACGCCAAGAAGCTGATTTTCATCTGTTTTCTTCATCTCTAGTCTGCGCCCCAAGCAGATCTGTAGGCAGATCTTGGGTATGTGCTGGTTACTACAGAACAAACAGTAAACTTGCATCCTCGGGTGTTTCTGCTGATAATCCAGGTGTGTTACTTGGATGAAGTCACACCTGGAAAACAGAAATAGTTGGGCCTCGCAGCTAGAACAGTTCGTTGCAGCTGCTGTGTGAACATGAACTCTCTTTGGGCTGTGAGCTCCCAGTTATGTTCGTGACTCGTAGTCTTGATGAAAAGATTTGGTACCGCAGGCCCTCATGTTTTCGATATCTCCCTTGTTTGGTGTTGCTGCTGATTACAAAGCCCACCATTTTCTGCTGGCCCTCTTAAGAAAATCATGTGCAGGTCTCTATATGAAGGTCATGGGAGTAGTGTGTATCAGGATTATGGAGAAAAATACATCTATCTTTTTTCTTTAAGTGAACTTCTTATTTGTCTTACGAACAGAACATGTTTTTGGCCATTATCAATGATACCTATTCCGAAGTCAAATCAGATATGGCACACCAGAAGGCAGAAATGGAACTGTCAGACCTTATAAGAAAGGTAAAAGTCATGTTTCCTTTGTCTCGTGTCTTGTTCCTCACATCTAAACTTCTGTATTCCATAAAATGCTCCATAAATGCTGCAAAATGAATCCATAAGATTCAGAGATGAACACCGATTAACAGTATGAGAAGTTTGCCTTGTGACTTGCCTTTTCATCAAAGGATCAGCCTGTTGAATACAAGACAGAATATTCTTGTCCAGGTTAATACTGAAATACCAGACTGATGAAACTGCAGCGACACTGAGTTTGGTGATGGAATTCACAGTTCTTATTTCCATCATACCTCACTCTGTGCAATAAGATGAATCAAGTCTTGCTCTGGGAACTTCCAAGGGCAGCTACCTGTAAGATTGTCTAATACAGTTAAGAATTTGACCCAAATCCCAGTTTAGGAACCAGACTTGCAGCTGCTGGCGTGGGTACAGTGCTGTACACATGCAGAAATATCTAAATGACCAGTAATTCAGTGTTTAGAACTTAAACTGTTTTAATAAACAGTCTTTAATTACAAGCAGTTCTTTAAAAAGTCATTTCTCAAGCAGAAATATCAGGGATATTCGAAAGGACCACAATAACATGTATGTATTGAATGCTGTCACTTGACTACTATCAGTAACTGCCAAAAGTGGCTTCCTAGGACAAACCATCCTTTTCCTGCTGATCCATAATGCAAATTGGCTAAATAAAAACCTTACCTTTAGCTACCATTTAAATACGGAAATAAACTGCAGGAGAAGGTGGTTTCTTGCACAACTTCTGGAACACACTGAATGGAAGTGTACACTAGTTGTTTTTTCTTTTATTCTAAAAAAAACCTTCAGTCATTAGAAGTAAAGTTAAAACTTCATGAAAACGTTAAGAGTTTCACTTCATCTTTCAGGGCTACAACAAAGCCATGATCAAACTTAAACTGAAGAAGACCACTGTTGATGACATTTCAGAAAGCCTCAGACAAGGTGGGGGGAAGTTAAATTTTGATGAACTCCGACAAGACCTGAAAGGGTAAGGGAGCTGCTGTTCCTCTTGGATAGTGCCTCCTCCAGAGGCTTGTGATGCAGAGGCTTTGGTTCAGTGTCTCTTGCCTCTGTGAAACAAAGCATTTGTTTTTCCTTTCTCTGATGGGAGGCTCATGAAAGCAGAGAGATGTTTATAGGCAAACGCTGTGTGAGTTGGAAGGAGCAGGGTGCAGTCCAGGGGAGAGCGATGCTGTTAAGGGGAAGGGGAAGGGAAGGGAAGGGAAGGGAAAGGAAGGAGGATAAAGTAGAGGTGAGGGCTGAGCTTTTTGTTGCAGTCAATGTTTTGAATTCACAGTGGTGAGAATTTCTAGGCTGACCTGGATTCAGTTGCCTGTTTTGCTTGAGGATGAAATGTATTCTGAATTGCTTTTCTAGTACTTGAAGTTTGTTCAGCAGCTGAAAAGCTGCCAGTAGTAAGGGATCTGTATTCACGGCCTTTTCAGAAAGGGTCACACTGATGCGGAGATTGAAGCCATCTTTACCAAATACGACCAGGATGGGGACCAGGAACTGACAGAGCACGAACATCAGCAGATGAGGGATGACCTGGAGAAAGAGAGGGTGAGCTCGCCACGAGGCGCGGTGTAGCGGCCACCCCATCGGCCTGTCTGTTCTCCATACTGGTTTGCTTGCTTCATTTCACACTTGCTGTCAGCCCTACCTGAGCAGAACTATTAAAAGGCAAAAGGAAGACAAGGATCCTCTTGTCTTCAAGAGCATGTATGGAGGACGGGCTGTCTTCATGCTGGTTCCCTCTGTGCGGATGAGTCTTTTATATCTTGCCTGTCTCTGGCTTTTGTCTTCACGAAGGAGGACCTCGAGCTGGATAGGAGCTCTCTGCCGCGTCCCCTGAGCAGCCGCAGCTTCCTCCGGAGCCTGGATGACTCGGAGGAGGACGAAGATGAAGACAGTGGGCACAGTTCTAGGAGGAGAGGCAGCAGCTCCAGCGGAGTTTCCTACGAAGAGTTTCAAGTGTAAGTTTTTCCTTGTTGGTGAGTGTGTTTGTATGGTGGGTCTTTCCGCTGTCCTTTTCTTTCAGATGTTTAGAAATCTCTCCTAAAACCCTGAATATTTGTCCAATTATTCCGAAAGGCGCAGGTAGCATTTTCAGGGTTCTTGGCTTGCTCTTTTTAACAGCTGTCAGATTATTATCTAAATTTCAAATGCGCAATGAAGGGCTCAATTAAAGAATCAGTGAGAAACCCAAAAAGCCTGCTGATTTTAAAACCTAGTCATGGAAATGACAGAGAAAATGATTGGGTTGCAGTAATGGCAGAAGACTCTTTTGCTTTTGTCATTAGAAAGACCTTGAGGTTACTGTAGATTCAGTGAGAACACTGCTTTTATTTGATTGGCATCGCTCGTGATTGGGTGTCTTGGCTAAAGCAGTAGATCTTTACCATGAAATACTTGAAATCTCCATAATTATATCAGCAGTAATAACTGAATGAAGAAGACTGGTAAGTAGGACCGATAACTTCTGGAGATACTCCCAAATCAGGGGAAACAGAATAGAACGTACCCTTTTTTTCCTTCTGCCTTTATCCCCGTGTTCTCTTCCAGTTCTTGCTTACCTTTTCCCTTCTTGGCCAGTAGAACTCATTTGGTCAAGTCAGATGCCGGAGTCAAAATCCCACCTCACCCTCCCGCCCTTTCTCAGCCTTAATGCACTAGAATGACGTTGACTTGGAAGCGTCCCAAACGGTGAAGCTTGTGCTTGTTCTCAGGCTCATGAGGCGGGTCGATCGCATGGAGCATTCCATCGGCAGCATCGTCTCCAAGATCGATGCCGTTATCGTAAAGCTTGAAGCGATGGAGAGAGCCAAACTGAAGAGGAGGGATGTGTTGGGGCGACTGTTGGATGGAGTGACGGAGGTAAGAAACCCATATGCTGTTGACTTGCTGCTTCCTGGGAAGGAGCTGCCAGGCTTGCTTATAGTTAGTGCTTCTCTTTGCTGCTGCTTGGATTGGAAGGACTGCGTGAAGATGGGATCAAGAGGAGGTGGGTGCTTTGGCTGCACAGCTTCTCCTTTGTGTAAATGACGAAGTGTGATCCGAGAGACATCACACGAGAGAGAGCTCGGCGCTGGGGGCTCTTCCCAGCTGATGCAGAGCTGCTTGCACGTGCACACAGTTAAGATCTTGCCTTTTCTGGAATTGCTTCCAGGGCTGCATGTGATAAGATATCACATGCTTCTATCACCAAAGATATCTGTCCTCTTTTACTTCCCTTCCCACATCTCTTTCCTGAGGATCCTTAGGGACGTAAGTGAGAGGAGTTATTACTACAGACAGTTGACCTTCTGATGGGGCAAGGACAGGAAGAACAGGGCAGGCAAGGGTGAAGAAGGTGACATGCCTTGGCAGGTTACCTAGGTTGAACTGGCAGCTGGTCTGTCACGGATAAGGTGTCTCTCATCCTTATTCCATAAGCAAACAACATTCCTGCTTGGTCTTTGAACTGGGGCTGTCTTCCTGGTGTGCAGTCTTCAGGACATCTTAGATAATCTTAGGATTCTAGTAGTGGATTTCAGTATTAGAAACTGTAATACAAAATGTGCCATTTTTGTAATACAAAAAACCATTTCCTTAGTGCAGTTACTGCACAGCTTGTGATTCTGCAGCAGTGTGCGGAGAAGTCTGAGAAATATTAGCGTTTTCCATACTTGTCCGGTATTTTGATTAGCTGGGAGTTGGAAACTGCCTTTCTAGCTTGCATCTCCTTGCTGCTTAGGATGAAAGACTGGGGCGAGACAACGAAATCCACAGGGAACAAATGGAGCGGCTCGTCCGGGAGGAGCTGGAGCGCTGGGAATCGGATGATACGGCCTCCCAAATGAGCCATCGGTTGGGAACGCCTCTCGGACTCAACGGGCAGCCTCGGTCGAGGAGCTCCCGGCCCTCCTCCTCCCAGTCAGATGGTGTTGATGGAGGCGGGGGAAATGGAGGGAATAACATCCATGCGTAAGATGAATTGTGTAGTTCGTGCTGTGTGTTGCAGGTCAGTATTAAGCCAGCAAATACGCTAGTTAACTGTTGCCCAGAGTGAGGTCATCGTCACCCTGATCTAACCATGAAAGGAAGAAGTCAGTGGTGGGTAAAAATCAGTATTTTCTTTGTCAGGAATTTCCAAAACTCCGTAAGCCATATGTCAGATGAACAATCTCACCTATGGCAACCTTAGCCTTGGAAATGAACATCAAGCATGGAAGGAGTGGATACCAGGGGTGTTCCACAATCTCTCTGCACAGAATTAGCTTTCTCTATATAGGTTTCAGGGAACAGTTTCTTTAGAGTACCAAACTATAGGCAGAATTTACAGGTCCTTAACCACATGCACTCCAGTGAAGGAATTTTCCAATGGAAGCATGAAACTCATGTTCAACCCTAAAATACCAGGGTGCACCTGATACTTTTTTAAAAAAGATAAAACCTATATATTGATGTGTGTGCACATGTGTGTGCATATATATATATTTTTATATATATATATATATATGTATTTTAATCTGAGCTTTTATATACTTCTTTTCAAATCTTTCTTGGTTTACCTAGGATCTTGATTTTAAATGCTCCGTTTCTGTAAACAGAAAGAGACTTTGCTTGTAAGCCTGTTAATCATGTTTTCTTTAATAGAGACCATACGCACTACATACTCTTTATTTCTAGTCTTTTAAAAATAATGTTCAAGAATAGCCTGTTTGCCCAGCTCATTTTATCTCTGTCAACTTTGTTGCGCTGTGCCTATTTTTTAATGCCACCTTTTCATGATCTAAGTATGCCTGGAAGTAATATTCCATACTTTATTAGATAAGTACAATAACTTAATGGAAAATACATTCCTTGAAAGCACGTGTGGTTGAAAAACACCCCCTTTCAGTTGGAAGGGAGAGGGACAGGGAAAAGTTGCTGGCAGTTGGACAAATCTAATGAAGTGTTTTCTGTCATATGCTCGTAATTTGTCTGTCATATTTAGCTTGTGTTTACTTCTAACAAATCTGCTTGTGACATTATTAGATATATTTCTACATAGGCTTTTTTTTTGCTGGGCTGCAACATTGATTTACTTCAGCAAGGTGTTCATAACATAACCACTGATACTTTGTTTAGGTATTTCATGTGCTGCGTTTTCTGAGACTGCAGAAGATCTTTTTTGTCTGGAAGGAGATGTAACCCTGAAAAAATGTAGAATTCCTATAGAAAGCATCAAGACGTGGTATTTATAGTTCTGCGTGGCAGCGTGGCTTGACAGTGGCACAGTGGTGTGGGGGAGAGGTTCTCAACTGTGTGTCTTTATTTTTTTTCTTGGAGGATAGCAGTCGAGTTACGTATTTGGGCTTGGTTTTAAGAAAAATCAAAAGCTACATAAGCAAACACACATTTAAGCTGTTGGTAGAAAATACAAAGAAAATTGCCCGTGTTAGTGTTGGCAGTAGTATTTTGCATTGGGGCTCTTAGTTCTGCACAGCAGTTGTTTCCAGAGGTTAAGATGTCTTATTCTTAGGATGGGATTACTTAGACAGCGTCGGGTATGGTCTTAGGACAGCGTTGCCTGGGCTTGGGGTGACTCAGGAGACTTTCCTTCTAATGAGAGCTCTTGAAATTGATGAAATTAAATAGATTTCATAATGCTTTTTCCTAGTTAACAAGAACCCACATTTTCAGACACCTTCTAAATGGCAGATGGAGCAGAAGAAAATGGGCTGTGGCGACTGGGCTCATAATAGGCTGTGGATCAAGAACAGCACCAAACAAGGAACCAAACCATGGTTCCTGGAAAGGTTTTTCCTCCCTATCTTCCTCCTTTTCTTTATCCTGCATTAGGATCAAATTCAAAGACACTAACAAAACAGCCCATTGCTACCCTAGAGCAGGCAGCAACCCAGTAGTTAGGCTGTTTGGGGGAAATGAGAGGCCCTCAGGCTAAGCTCTCTTCTGCCTTGGTACAATTTTTTGGACTTTAGGAGCCTCTTTGGGTAAAGCTTTGCTTTCTTAAGCTAGCAGTTCTGATTTAAATGTAGAAAATCACTAGGTGTATACCAGGCCCACTGCTGTGCCAGGAATGTAGTAAATAGAGTCTAAATGAATTTACAAAGTCTTGTCTTGGCTTTCATATCCCACATGTTGGTAACTACCATGGTTCACAGTTTAAACTTCGAGGCCTGTTAACAAATTATACTCGTGTAGCCCAGCAGATGTTGGGCTTAGAGGGTCAGCAGTAGCCTAGATGCCCAAGTAGTGTTTAAATAGTTAAGATCAGCAGATAACCCAGCCTGAGCTTTTTAGGATTCAGCTGAAATACTACTAAGAAACTGTGTTTTGTGCCTGTGGCTTTTCCAGCATGTGGCAAAACTGCTGCTGAGTTTTTGGGTGGAATTGGGAGAGCAAATGGTGCAGCAGTTATTTGATGGCGCTGTTTGCCTTGGAAAAAACCAAAATCAATCACTCTGTTTGAAAATGCATTTCCTTTAAAAGTGTATTTTTTGCCATGTAAACTGTATCACGACGCTCCTTTTTCTTTTGCAGTGCGTGTGTAGTAGGAAAGCCAAGCTGTTTGCTTGTAGAGCTGTGTGTGTTCGGGTGGATTTCTGTAACGTGTCGTTACTTGAGAACAAACTTCATCTTGAAGTGCTATCAGTTTTCATGGGGTACCCGTGTGTGCTGACAAATGGCAATTCGACAAATGTTTTTGAACATTTTCATTATGGTTTATTTTGCAGATTTTCTAAAACCATTTGTCGCTTGTTATTAAGGTAAGATTGTATAGGAAAGAATGTAAAGTCTTTGGTCTTCTTAGGAAGCTGTTTATTATGCAGGTCTTCTACAATGATCAAGAATTTATTGGTCTGTAAAACCGAGCACTTTACTTCTTAATAAACATTTTATGTAATGTATATACCAACCTTTTGCAATGCAGTTGAATTATTTAACATAAAATACTAAGAATCTCCCATTTGACTTAAGTGTGTACTCCCCATCTGAGTTTACCTTCTTCCAAAATCAAATAATAATGGAAAAAGGGAATGAGCAGAGAGGATGGGGCTGAGCTACTGCTTCCCTGTTCAAAGAGAAAAGGTCTATTGGGGCTCACTGTGTTTTCTCAGCCAGTGAATTAGGGAGAGGAGAAGAGTCTTCCCTAATTCACCTCGTTTTAGAAGTTTATTTTGTAGTGGGAAGTTTATTTTTTTCTTATTTAATACTGTGGGTATGTGAATGTTGTTGGCTTAAGATGTCTCAAGAAGCCCAGTTTGAGCTGGGCAATTTTAAGGAAAACGAGTGCCATGGAAATGAGTAACCTTATTCTGCCACAGTGCCCAGGCAGTCGTTTTGCATGTCTTGCATATTCTTTGCAAAAAAGTTAATTCTATGCAAAAAAAAAAAAAAATCTGCAAAATAATTGCGTCGTTTGAACAATGCTGGGAGGGAAGGTGGGTTTCCCTCCTATATGGAATGTTCAATACAAGCAAAAACTTCAGCAACTGGAGACAGAGGAATCCTTCTCTAACCGTAGATTCCCCAAGCTTTTCTCTAGGAGGAGATGTCCAAAAGCTCCTTTTAGCAGTGTTTAAACTCAAAATTAGGAGTTCCTGCCTTTTCTGCAGGTAAGCACACATTTAGGCTGTGGTGAAGTTGTCCAAAGGTGTTTTTAGAGCTGTGTCTGCCTTAATGCCATACTAATCCTTTCTCCTCTTTCTCCCCCAAATTAGTGTTTGGAATATTCGAACGAAAATAAAAAAAAACCCTCTGCTGATTGACAGTTACACCCGGAATACTGAGTTCACTGTTCCCAGAATTACACCTGAGATTACACCAATTAGGTTGAGAGCTAAGACTGAGACAAGCTTGGAGATCAAGGAAAAAGAAAACGCCCGGGAAATGTACAGACAAGTTTCGATACCATTAAATTAGCCACCAGAGGCCACTGCTGATGCAGGCTGGATTTAGGCATGTTTTCACAAACTCGAGCAGAGATAATTTGCCTAAAATTTCTGACACTTCTCCCCTTTTTGTTTCAGCTAAGGAGCAAGTCGCCAGCAAGAGCCTGATGATTGAAGTGTCGGGAAAAATATGACTGCCCCAAAGAAAGCAGGGAAGGAATCGTATACTTCTTTTGGTAAGAAATTGCTTTTTCTTCCCTTGTTCAGTGATGCTGGAGCTGTGCAATAAAGGCCATTCAGTTTCCTGAGAAGATGTTCTTGGTTTCAAGCCAATATGGCAAGGTATTTAACTAGGTAATTGGGTGTTTATCAGTTAATGCCCAGCAAACAGTGGCACTCTTTGGCACTTTTGAAATCTTTGCTTGAGGCAACACATTTCTTAAAACTTAATTTCTTTTTCCTAGTACCTAGCATTCTGCTTGAATCTTCCTCAAAAGTGTAGAAAAGAAGTTTTTTTTTTTAAAAAAAAAGCTAAATAAGTAAGAAAGGCATTTTATTAAAGATAAAATGTTGTCAAATGCTGTAATAACCACAGCATGCAACTAACAGTATTCATGGAAAAAAATAATTTATGAAACTCAAATATTATTCAATCTAGGAAGCTAATTAGTAACATATAGGTATTTTTTTACATTTTTTCCTTCTATGATAACAAAACTTAAAAAAAAAATCTTAATTGGGATTGGATTTCCTTCCTGTATTTATTTATTACTTGGACAACAGGGCCTTAGTCATTCAATTCACCTATAATGTGTCAAAGAGAAGTTGTTTTCCAAGCAGCGCTGGAGCAGCACTTGGAAGCAATGGCTGTATCTAGCCAGCTTAGTACCTGTTCTTCCTTGCCATGTAGAGGGGAAAAAAAAGAAAAACACATCAGATGTTTGCTAAGAACAGAAATCATGGAAGGAAAATAATAGTAATTGATCAAAAGGAGGGATAAACTGTAATTTTCTTATCAATAACAGAACTACAAGAATGTTCAGCAAGCTGGACATGAGAGGCTCACATCAAAGGTTATGGGAAAAAGACCCCACCTACCATTTCCTCCATTGGAAGGGATAATGGAGTTGAGGATAATTTTAGAAAAATCTCTATTGTTCAGGAATGATGTTATAAAATGATACATTAAATTCAGTGAGGTGTTCCTTGTAGGGAACTGTAATCTTGCTTTTTATGTTGAAATGAGTGGTTTGTAAAATTACTGTAACCATAGATTTTCTTCAAAGTAATAAGTTGAATTTAAAGTATTTTTTGAATAGTAGCAACCTTCCTATTGCACTTGACTATTAAGCGGTTTAAAGTTGGTTAGACAATGTATTTGAAAGCAAAAGCTTAAACCATATTGAATAATTGCACATAAAACCACTATGTCTCCTGGATTTGTGATAAAATCACTTATTGTTAAATGTAAGCAAACAGAAATGAGAATTTCCATGCACATAACCACATTTCCAGTGGAGTTAGTGATTTAATCAGAATGATTAAATTGGGTACATCACAGATTTTTAAGGCTAACTAGGACTGACAAAAACCTCAGAAAATCTCTGGTATCGGGCGGTTCTGTCAGGTTTAAGCCCGAGCGCTGCCCGTGTCTTAACACCATGAAACACTTGATCCTGGTACTGCAGCACTAAGATCTTGCCGACAGGACCAAATGTCGGCGCTAATTCCGCCCCTAAGCCAATTGTAGTGGAAAGCAGGGATCATATCAAGAGCAATTGGGAGCAGATTAACAACCGAGGCTTAATGAACTGTGTGCCGCTTCAGGAATGCCTGTGAAATCCCCCCGTAATGAGGGCGAGCAGCTCGGAAAGATTGTGAGAAAGAAGTCAGGACCATTAGCCTTGGGGCACTGTACGATCCCTGAGAGTTTAATCCTTGTCACAAGGTCAAGCTTTTACAAAGCAATTACTACGGATCTCCGTAATATCAACATTACAAAAACACCCAAATATACAAAGCCATTTAACTTAAAGGATTCCACTCTCGTTTCCTTTCTGCTTATAATCACTGTGTCTTTTTTAAGCTCTTGCTTTGGGACTTTAGTCACGTTTACATTGCAATACCTAGACAAACTTTTATCTCCTTGTCTGTGCCGAGTGATACAGTTGACCTTTGTGTGCCCCTCCACGGGAATGAGGAAAGAAAGAGTTCTTCTCTCTCCTCCACAAGTAGGCCTGGAATTTTCACTTGTATTTTGCATATGGAAAGCTTGACATTGGCAATCCCTGTTCACAGAACATTGTGCTGCCTTGGAAGTGATTGGCTTTAAGCAATTTTGGAGCCTTGCCTGCTTTTCATCAAGGTAGGTAGAATGCTGGATAAAAAGAGAAAAAGCCGCTGTGCCATAGTTGTCTACACTGCCATATGTTTCTCTGTTAAGCCTCTGGAATGGGAAAAAATAAAGATATAAATTACCAGGTGAATGCGCTCAATTTGATTATTAGAGGTCGTATTTCAAAGCAGAAGCACTTTCAGAGATATTTTTCCTCCAGAGTCTTGTGTATGCTGATAGCAGTTATTGTGTTCAGATGTTAGATTTCTAGACCTGTCATAAACCTTTATATCATAAAGGTCTTTAATGGTTTCATCATTTATATCATATCATATCTAGACCTTTATCATAATTGAGCTTTTGCAGATTAACTGCCTTGTCACGTCATTACCTTGGAATCTGCCTCCTCTTTCAAACTTGTTCCAAGATGATGATGTTATCACCTCATTTATGTTTTCCTCCTCTGTAAGCATAGAGTTTTCTAAATGAAGTACTGCTGAGAATTTGAAGTTTTCCCTTGCTCTAAGTGTCCCCATCACAACATTATTCCCATCCAGGTTTATTTTCCTTTTCATGATAAAATAAAAATAAGTGTTGCATTTCAATTGCAGACTTACATTTTAATTTATACTAACTTCACCGGTCGGTCAGGTAGCAAGTCCTCATAGCATGGACTAAGTAATTTAAGTTTTTCTTGGTCATGAAGAGTTAAAGAGAAGGCCATTCCTTTATTTTACATGGCTTTTATTTCATTGTTGCCAAGAATCTGAAGTCCTGTTGATAAAGGCTTCCCTTAGATCAGCAATTTCTGACAGGAATTAATATCAATCATTAACATATCCATGTGAATAGAGAAACCAATAAACAGGTCACAGTAGAATCGGTCTTGGACATCTCAGCGGGGATCCACATGAAGTGTCTCAATTTTATTTCAGAACATGTTCCTTAGAATTTAAATAGCAAGGTTGTATTGATCTGTCCCACATATGCAGAGATGCTCTTGAAGTTGTTGGCAGGTTCGGGAGGTCTGTCGCTCATAGGATTCATGTGGATCTTCCCTTGCAGCCAAAATCTCCAGACACCTAAAAAGAAAATCATTTTGAAAGCAATCTCGAGGAGTAAATTAGAAGGGATAAATATATTGCCTTGTTAATCTAGTTCATAACATAAAAGTCTCTCTGTTAAATATATAAGAGCTTTCTCTAAATTCAAAAGCTGAAACTGTCATGTTGAGAAACATGGTTTTCATTTTGCTTTTTCATTTTGTTCTGTATCCCAGCTGTTGAAAGCCTCAAATGGATATCACAAGAACTACTTCTACCTTACAAATCATGCTGCTGAACAGCAAAACATCTCATCTGAACCCAGAAAGTCCCATAAAGACTGACTATACGTATCTCAGATTCCAGGTTTGAATAGGAACAAGTTACAATGCTTTGAGTTCTTAGATATATCCATAACAAAATCTTTTAGTCATATGCTGCTGGCTGCGATGTCTTTATGCAGTAAATACAACGTAGAACAAATCATTTGCTTGAATATTTATGAAGATTTGTCACATGATTGCATTAAGAAATGGTCTCAAAAAATCATGTAAAACAAAGCAAAGATTCAGTATTTGTATATTTATTTTGTTAACTTGAAAGTCTGTCCATTTTGGTATACTGTAAAATCAGGATATTTCAAGAACTAATAAAATGCCTGAGCGATACAAAATTGTGATTTTATTTGGTTCTCATTTTTGGCGTTGAGAATATCTAGGTCTATAGCTTTGTAATTAAGGCAGCCATTTCCTGATGATAAGAACAAGAAATTTGTATTTTGGAAGACTTTGTTATTTTACCAAAATGTAAATAAAAAATGAACTGCAATTATGTGTAGTGGGAGATTCAGGTACACCGATATTCACATTCACTAGAAAGTGAAATAGCCAGGTTGGGATCCCAGTTGTACGAAAGGGAGGATACTTTTCCTAGTATCGCAGTTGAGGGCTTATTTCAGAGAAAAGGTTATTGATAGGTCCAGCTTTAGGAACATTAGTTCAAGCCTGGGCCTACAGCAACACGTAAATCTTTGCTATAACTTGAGCCCTGCGCCTGATGTCTTGTCCTTACAAGGCAAGAGACTGTAACTCTGCCGTGCATATAACTAGTAAAAAAGGCGAATTACAGAGTTAACAGAGGCTTTGCTGTGGTATCTGTGCCGTGCTGCAAGCCTCTAGCTATGTGTTTGTGTCGCAATGTTAGTTCAGCCCCTGCTTTTTAGCACTTGGGCAGAATGATGGGGCGCAGTAGTGACAAGGCTGCACGAAAAGGGATGGTGCCTCAATTAAAATTTTTTAATCTGTACTGAAACTCCTGTATCAACATAAAGTGCCCCGCTTCACTTTGTTGCTGGAGCACGGGAAATCGCCATGGCTTCCAGGCTGTTTTAGTGGTGGGAAAGGTGTTCGCGCCGCATTCCAGCAGCTCCGCGCACCTACATTGCTGCTTCTGTGTCGCTGCAGAAGAGGGTTAGGGCAGGCTGCGTGCAGCACGTTAGAATATGAATTAGCAAGTTTCCTCTGTCATGGGAGGGAGCAAAACTGGGGGAATAATGGTTGAACATAGGTCAAGCGACGAGTAAAGAGGACAGCGAGCGTCGCGCACCTAGGGGCACCCGCAGCTGGGGACGCTTCCCTTGGCCCCGCCCCGCCAACGGCCGCACCCCGCCCCGCCAACGGCCGCGCCCCGCCCCGCCAAGGGTCGCAACGCGCCTGCGCCGCCCACGCGCCGCCGGACGGAGCGCAGCGCAGCGGAGCAGCGGCCACGCGGCGACGCGTCGCGGGTAGGGCGGGCGACGCGGGGTCGGGGGGGGGAGGGAGCAGCGGCGGCAGCTGATTGGCTGACGGCGGCGTGGGCGGCGCGTGTGGCGGTTAACGGCGCTCCCGCCTAACGGCGCTTCTGGCTAACGGCTGCTGGGAACGGCGGGATTGTCCTCGTGTCGCGTTGTCCTTTTGCTCCTTTTCCTGCTATTTTGCTCTTCGTTGTCTGCTTAGGGCTCCCCTCGCGCCGCGGGAGTGCACTTTGCCTTCTTGGAGGGGACTTTACCCCCTTGGAGGGCAGGAGGGTCTCTTTGAGAGGGTCGTTGGATGTTTAATAAGCCCTGAAGTGCCACAGAAACCATTTTGCCACAGTCACTAAGCCTAGCGAGAACCAAATGTGTTTCTAAGAGGTTAACTGGTGGTGAAGTGCGGAGGTCTCTCAGCGCATGGTGTGGTGCCCGCTGCTCCCTTCACCCTTTACTTTGTTGTGCAGATGCTGTGTTTTGTCTTCTCAAGCCTCAATCACCGGAGTTCGGGGTATTAAAAACAGCAGAGGCTTCGTCTTTGTGGTGCAGCAGCACCTGTAAGGGTGGAATATGTGCAGGCCTCCAGCAGGGCAAGAAAAGCAACATAGTGCTAAGAAAGGTCTCTCCAGTACTTGACATGCGCCTTGTTGAACATGCACCATAGTCGTGTTCTTGTGAAATGGCATTTTGAGTTCATGAGTAATAGCCAGATAGTCTGCAATAGTCCCCCCTAAGAACTTGCTTTAGAATACTGCGGTTGCCAACAATGTCATAGAGTAACATGTCTTTAAAATCCAGCTAATTTCATTACAGGCGATAGAGCTGGGGATTGAACGGGGCAGCGAGAGACGTACTAAAAGTGCTAAGGGTTATGAGAAAATGTGAAGGGGTGCAAACGAAGAGGGATGCAACTCTCACAGGCAGCAAATGTCGGCTGCCGATGGTGAGGGGGGGATTTAGGCTACCACAAAAGTGTTACTGTAATGAACAAAATGTTGCAAATAATACCATCTCAATTAAATCTGTATTTAAAGTCAGCCGGGTTTAAAAAATAATATTGCCCTGTAGCAGCAATAACAGAACAACCAGAATAAAAAGTGGTTTGTTGCAGTTACTCAAAATAAATGGAAACTTCAAGAAGGAACAAATACAACAGATGATACAAATTGGTAGATGAAAAAAGTACATGGCCTGTATTTAACAAACAGTATTTCCAGTAAGAAAAACCTGTTAGAAAAACCTGGGTTTGCTTCTTTTGGGAATAAATCACTTGCTAGTAAATGTAGGTGCTGGTAAAGTTATGGGACCAATTTTTGCTCAGGCTAAGCCATCAAGTGTCAGTTTTCTTTCTTAAATGTGTAACTAGAAGGTGCGGAAAGACCATGATGATTAGTCTTAAAGAAATTAAGAGCGTAGTACACTTTTTTTTAGGGCAGTCAAGCCAATTGAGGAACGCTGGATATTTCAGCAAAGTACCTTAGGATTAAGTATTTAATAATGCTATACAAGAATCATACATTGTTGAATTACAAAATCAGGAACGAAAGTACAAAGGGGAGTCTCTCAAAATAAGTCAGTTTATCGAACACTGCCAGTTACATGGTTAGGTCTGTTTTTACGAGAACTTCTTCATCAAGTGCAATTTCACGTATGAAATCGCAAGGAATATTACTGTCATGCATGCCAGGGCCAGATGATTCTGCCATAACCCCCAAGTGCTTGCATCAATGCCTTGATTTTTCAAATACTCTTCTCCTGTACACCACCTGCAGACCAAACAGATTTATGAAGGTGATCTGGTTTAGGTACTTAGGAAGTTCCCTAGAAACTGTAGTTTGATTCAATATTTATAAGAGGCCAGACCTGTGATTGGGTAGTGTTTTCTACTTATAACTTTGTTTTTCTTGTAGCTACAATCAGTTTGTTGAAATTAATTTTACAAGGCTTGGTGATTGCCATGGAGAACAGAGGAGCTGTCAGTAAACAGTGAAAACAAAAAAAAGTGAAATGCATAATAACAGAAATACTTCTAAATTGTTATGAATACCAGGCTTGATAAGAACTACGTAACATGCTCTTTGCAGACAGAATGCAAAGATTCAGCAAAATACTATTTTAAAATATAAAATCTTTTAACAGAATTTGCTGGTGATCAGTGAATATTTCACAGGCTGATACTCAAAGATTTGGTAAACCATTTGTGGAGGGAATATTCATTTCATGAAAATATTCATTTTAATATACCAAAGTACTTACATCTGGCTTATCTGCGGACAGTTATCACTCACATTTGTGGTACTACTGCTGTTGCAAAAGTTCAGACCAGTCAATTCATTAATTTGTAAAGCCTTTTAAAATAAGAGAAACAGTGGCAACAGAAATTAGTAGTAAAGGACTGATAAATGAACAGGATGAGATAATACCAACCAAATAGATCCTAAAAATGTCATGGCATCACTATTATGTTGGACAAATCCATATTTTTTTAGCACAGAAGCATTGCTCATTTTCTTCTAAAAGGAGAATGTGTGCAGGCTGCACATTTTCATGCACCGGTGTCTTTATGCTTCAGCACTACATTAGATTATAATGGATTAGATTACACAGGAATATTCAAGCCCAGATTTCTCTATGAGACATCATCATAGCTTGAGTTACTGAAAAATATGAGTAAAATTGTAAGGTGATAGGTTTTTGTGCAATTGATGGGAAAGAAAAACAAAACCACCTCTTTTGTATGATGGTGCTGTTGCTTATTCTGAAGCATTTTTATCCGATTTTGTTGTGGTGGACTGTAGAAGACATTAGTCGTTTACATTGGCGTCACTCCCTCCTATGAATTATTTTTAGGTTACAGAAATTAGCTTCTTTAACCAGCAGTAGATGCTACTTGATGAAAAGCCTTGTTTTTTTTTCTTTCAATCTATGTCATTAAATTTGAAGATTACTCTCTCAAATAATTCTCATTAATCCACTATTGCTTATTGTGAGTGAAGACATTCCTTTCTAACACATCTTTTTCAACTCAGTACACAGGAAAGCACAGCACTTACTGTCATTCCATACTTAGGAATGCTGAAATACTGGAGCCAGGACAGCCAGGACATGATGCTTGTTAGATTCACCAGCAACCCAGAGAAAATCTAGAGGCAGTGAAAGCCAAGTAAAAAAGGTAGATTAAAAAAGATATATGTTATTACATATGTTAGTCTCTAACTCTTGTGTTAGTCTCTGGTGCTAAGGATGTTGTCCATGTCTGAGGGGTAGCTGAAGAGGACAGGTAAAGTGACAGTCTCAGAATGCAGGAGCAGGGTCATAATCTCAGCCGGTCACATTTGGTTTTGGTCAACCTGAAAGGGAGTTCTCAGTTTTGCCAGTCACTGAGAACTCAGCAGAGAAAACATTCCCCTTCCCAATCACACCTAGACCCGCAAACCCGGGTTCAATCGAGTTCTTCGGAGGGACAAATCAGAACAGAACGTACTCAACACCACAGCCTTTTGGGCAGAAGTCGGACCTCAGATGGAGGTTGGAGCTGAGCTCTGTAACTGCTAGGATTTCTGTCTGCAAAAAAATACAGAAAATGCTACTCACAATCATAAACACAAACGTAATGGTCATCAGTAGGTTTGCCAAAGCGACCACGCTCTGTCCCGTTGCAATGGCTAGTGCCATAGAAGTGGCTGTGTAGGACACCATCATAAGGGTAAACATCATTGTAAAGAAGGCTTCTACTGTTGGTTTCAAACCTTTAAGATAAGGGGAAAAAAACAGGAGATTTTCAGTATGATCTTGCCAAAAGCTGTACCATAACCCAAATAAATGCTGCGTCTCCATACGTGTTTTATAAGGAGCGTTGAGTCTTCTCACGCACCATAAGGAACAAGC